TTCTCTCACCTTTTTGCACAGATCCAGCAACCACATCCCAACAGTTTGTTATGAACAGCAGCGTTCTCCCTGTGCAGCAGTGCGTGCTTTACTGCAACATGCAGTTAGCAAATATTAACGACACTCAATGCAAACACACCTTGGCAAAAAGAGGCTGTGATCTGCCATCGGCTCAAAGCAGGAAGCTGAGGAAGATGCCTTCCTTAGCCCAACGTTATTTACAGATGCAATGCACCTTGCAAATGCAATAGGAGCATTTCCTCTCAGAACATTTTTTGGCACTTCCGCGGTTTTGTTCCAGCCCTCCTTATTTCCACCACCACCAGGTTCATGCAAAAACATAAACGCATCGGATTTATGTAACAGCCGAATCCCTGCATGCCCCCAGGATGCTGAAGCCAGGCAGCTGCACAAGGAAAATGGCCTGCTTCCCGGGGCCTGAGACACTTCCTAAAAGCAATTCTCTTAAAAATCGCCAGGATGTACAATATCCCTGCAGCCCGTTTAGAAGAAACCCTGCGCATCCTCGCTCCCCTACCGTTGCTACTTACGGCAGCTGTCTCAGCTGGAATAAATCATCCTCCATTGCCAGGCTGCGTCTGGAGGAGCTGCTCTCATCGCTCTCGCATGGCGGGGATGGATGCAGCTGTAGCAAAGCGGGCACGGGCGGACGGAGGGCTCTGGTGGTCGCAGGCACCGGGACGGTGCGGCACCGCACGGCACAGCGCGGCGCGGCTGGGCTCAGCACGGCTCAGCACGGCACGCCGGGGAGGGCTGAGTGGCTCCCTCCCCTTGCCGTGCTTGCTGCGGGATGTGCTGCCAGCCTGCACCGGCTTTCCCGGCAGCCGTGACCAGGGATTCGTCCGTTGAGAGGCTGGGGCACAAGGGATGCTAAAGTGGCAGCAGAAAATGAGCTGGGCAGCATTGGGACTTCCGTAAGGAAAGCCGAGCAAAGTTATTTTGGGCACGGCTGATCCTGAAATGATAGCAAAGGGTCTTTTGGGGGAACACAGCGCAGTCAGGTAAGCTGTTAACACTGCACTTCCATGAGGGTCTTTGCAGAAACTACGTCTTTGTAGTGCCTGTTTCAGATACCCATGGCAAGTTTCCATATTTAATCTCTTCTGGTGACCTGACAGGGTTTCTCAGTGTGCACTCCACAAACTCAGAATGAAATCGCTTTGTAAAAAATCTCAGTCATTTAGCTGCAAAATATGCTGTCAGCCAGGTGCATTCCCCCCTGTAGACTTTCTTCTGCAATTGGAAGAGAAAATTCAGCTGTGCATTTACAGAAGAATCCTTTCCAGAGAAAGGCATGCAGGAGAAAATTAAAAGAAATGTGCTAGGAGATTTTTTTACATGATTAAAATGTAAGATACATTTGACTAATTAAAAAATGGCCTGAAATCAGCAAGGTGAATTCAGATGAAGACAGGTGAAAAGTATTATCGTGAGGAATAAGTCAGAAGGCGTGCAAATTCAGACCAGGGAAAACATGATGCCCAACAGAGAGTTGGCCTGGCTATGACAAACCAAGCATGCTTAATATGTGACTGAGAGTTGTTCAGCTATCACACAGATTCGGTTTATGATGCTAAATACTGAAAATGTGAACAGTTTTTAGTATTTATAGGAGAGATCTCACAGGCGGTGTAGCTAGAGCTTCAGCTGCCTTAAAAGTTGTGAGAATAATTCTTTAATTTGTGCCTGGGAGTGAAATCCTGATGCTCACACTAAGCTTCATTTCAATAACTGTGTGTGTCCTGCGGTCTCCATCCGTGCACTTTGTGTAGCACCACACTGTACAGTTGATCACAAAAGACCTCATGGATGTCTCAGGTACCTTAGTGTCATTCCATGTGGATCAAGATGCATATATGTGGGTAACTGTCACCTCCCCTGACATTTTTTGCTCATCTTTCCCAGACACGCAGATTTGCACAAACAATGTGGCTCTTTCATCGTGCATCCTTGTTGTCTTTGATTTGGGTGGTGCTGTGATTTGGATAAAGAATGGCTGTTTCAGTTGGTTGTTCTCACAAAGGGGCTGAGCAGTTTATTTGGAATAAAAGGCAGCCTGGCCCATAACATAAAAAAAAATGAAAGGCTTTGGCAGCTAAACCTCATCTATCCACACAATTCCTCTTCAAAAAACATGGGTTAAAGAAACCATACTTCAATATTTTATATAATCTGAAAAGTCTGCTCTGTCTCACGAGGTGAAACATCGTAAAGCCCACAGGAGGAAGGTGGGAATTTTGGTCCTCTCAGCACCCTGGTGCCTTTTGTTCATGTATTCAGTGTGTTACGTCAGCGTTGTACATCTCACAGGAGTGCTGCAGCAGTCAGGACAGCTTCATTTGCCCTTCTCTTCCACCACTTCCCCACCTCAATCAGCCTCTTGTTCCTGTGCTCTCTGGGCTCCCCTCTCCCTCTGGCACATATGGAACAAGGCCAGGCAAACCAGGACTGGGCTGAAAGGTGCACCAGGCACCCTGTAACATAGCTCGATAATTAGTTTGGGAAGGTGTAAAGAGGAGGACGCCGCTCCCTGCCAGGCCCACAGTCGGCAGCTGCCACCTCGAGGAGCTCCCAGAAGCTGCACGTATTCTGCGTTGATGAAAACACTGCTTTCGCTACACAACCCCTAGAGCACCTCGGTTAAAAAAATAAAAAATAAAAAAAAGACAGCGCTGTGTGCAGAGCGAGGCCTTCGAGTCAGGCACAGAAACCTGCACCACGCTCGGGACTCTGCAATCCTCGCCCAACGCGCGGCCTTAGCAACCGTTGCTAGGGGGCGGCCCGGCGCAGAGCGTGCTTATGGCGTCACTTCCGGCGCCCCTCTCGCTACTTCCGGTACCCCGCGCTGCCCGTCCGTCGCACCACCCACCCGCAGGTCCGGGTTCCGGGGTGCGATGCTGCCCGGCGGCGCCGTGCGGCGGGCGCTGAGGGCCGGGGCGGCCGGCAGGTCAGCGGCGGGGCCGGGAGGGGTGGGGACCGGCAGGCGAGGCTCGAGCGTAGCCCCGAGCCCCGTTGCGTGGCCGCCTCCGTCACCGTTCCCGTGTCTCCCCGTGCAGGTACAGGGCGATGCGGAGCTGGGGGGTGATCGGGGGGCTGGCGGCCGCCGTGGCGGCGGGGATCTACGTGCTGTGGGGGCCCATCGCCGAGAGGAAGAAGCGGAGGAGAGGTAGGGAGCGGCGGGGGGAGGCGGGCGAGGCCGTTGCTGAGGGCAGAGGCCCGGTTTGGGGTTCCCCGGGCACCCCGTTATCTGCATTCGTCGTTAGGAGCTGTTGGAAATGGTGGGCTGTCACTGAAGTTAAGGTTTGGGCCGCTGTCCTTGCCTTTAAAATGTCACAGGTTACAATCTGTGTTGAACAGAGGACTTTTGTTCCTTATGTAAGCTATTAATTCTATCTGTTATTAATAATTGTGACTTACTGAATATATGCTCGCATCTCTTCTGTGGTAATTTAATTACTGCTGCAGGTCACGGATCTTATTTTATTTTGCATTTTGGGATGCAAAACAGCCATGTGAGAACCTTCTAGTTTTCAGCACCAAATGAACAGAAACCATGTAATTTCCATACCAAATTCACTTGCCAGTGAAAGTAGTAAGGTTTTTGCAGCCCGCAGTGTCAGCTCTTCCATCTCTGTTGGCAGGCCTGGTGCCTGGCCTGCTGAACCTCGGCAACACCTGCTTCATGAACTCCCTGCTGCAAGGCCTGTCTTCGTGCCCCTCGTTCATCAGGTGGCTGGAGGAGTTCACAGCACAGTACAAGGCAGAGCAGAACCAACCCAGCGAGCAGCAGTACTTGTCGCTCACTCTGTTGCATCTCCTAAGAGGTACCAAACTCAGTCACGTCGTGGTAAGCCAGGAAGAAAGCACTTAGCATCAACATTAATCCTTCTCAAAGAAAGTGCAGGCAGTGCTGGGTTCCTCTCTTTTTGGTTTAGTGTCTCAGGATGTTGTTCACACTAAAACTGTGCTTGAGCTTGTAAGTTCAAGCGATCAAAGGACAGTGAGACATTAACATTGATTTTGTGATATCTAGAGATCCTCTTTTTACCTCATCCACTCGTAAAGTGATCTTTTCAGGCAGTGTTTATATTATTGCTTATTCTCTCTATGTGTGTCAGTTGGGAAACGCTCCACTTTACAAGTATAGTAGACAAAGAGAATGTATGCAGTCAATGACACTGTCAGATGAGAATGGCAATTAATACATGCTAGTTTGGTTGTCGTTGTTTACCTGTCTTAATCAAGAACATCTTTATGGTAATCAATTATATTGTGCCTAAGTAGCATAAATCCTAAAATACACAGACCTGTGTTCTAACCGTGCTTTGTGGCTCCTTCTAACATGTTAAAATGCAATGTCTTTAAGCTTTATCCTGTCAAGAGGTAACAGAAGATGATGTCCTGGATGCAAGCTGCTTATTAGAAGTGTTAAGAATTTACAGGTGGCAGATCTCGACATTTGAAGAGCAGGTGATTACAAAATTCAAGTTAGACTGCCTGATGTACAGTTCAGTGCTTAGATCTGGAATAACCAAAAACTGAAGCAATAGCACTAACAGCACTGGGTGTCAGAGCTGAATCTTTGCTGTAGGAAAAAGTTTGCTTTAAAAAAATGAAGGAGAACAACTGTGTGATTTGTGATTCATGAATGGTGTTTTCAGTTTGCGTAGATGTCTGTCATGGAAAGCCTGGCTGCTTCAAAACCTCCTACTTAGTATGTTCAGATTTGGTTTGACATATTAAAGCAGAAGGGATGCAGCCCTCACTGCCCTGTATCTGAAGGGCTTCTGCTTGCAGGGATGGACTCAACTTGGTTACTATTTCCAAATTCAGTCTCATAGGGGATTTCTAAGACTTATTTTCAGTATTTCTAGCCCCTAAGTAAGTGCAGCTGGTCGATAAACTCAATCAATTTTCTCATTCATAAAATATGGTGGCATTCTTCTTTTATGTTTCAGAGCCAGACCAAATAGCACAGATTTCAGTGATGGGTTTTATTGAAACTCAGGAAAGCAGGCATTTGTGCATTCATTTTTTTTCTTCAATGATTTTGGTGTCTCTTAAATTTATCCAGCCCAGAATGTTTTTAATAATGAAATATATGAAATTCAGTTTTATAGAGAACACTTCTTACTAAACTTGAATTGGATGCACAATTGATGACTATTAATACGTAAGATAAGCTCTAAGCAGTGATTTTCCCCTTTAATTTCATAGTGCAGTGGACTCTCAGCACTCCTGGTGTATGTTTGGATGGGTTTCTTTTTTGTTTTGCTTCCTGTAACCCTTATGCCTCTGTTTAATAGGATGCTCATGAACTATTTCATGTCCTTACCTCTTCATTGGAAGATGAACGGGATCGTCAGCCACGTGTCACACATTTGTTTGATGTGCATTCATTGGAGGTGACGACTTGACCAATGTTGTTTTGTTTTCAGAAGTTTCCATATGTACTTGGTAGTCTGCCCAGATTCCTAAGCGTGTCGAGTATGAAATGCCTGTTAAGAAACTGAAGATATTAGCATAGGGTTTACAAAGCTGCTCTTTATTGCTCTGAGAGAAATGAATCAGTAGCCCAGGTAATGAAAAGAAAAAAAAATTGTTTGAAGGCAAATGTACCTCAGTCTGTGACTCTGCTTGCATGAGAGCTTTTGCATTCCTAAATCCATTGAACACAGGGACTGAAAAACTAGCAAAACTAACACAGAGCAGCAGTTGGTGCAATCATTTACTCTTATCTGTTAGACTGATGCAACAAAGGGCAACTGCAGAATGGGTGCTTATAGCACAGTGCATTTGGAGGTGAAGTTTTAGCTCATCCTTCAGCATTAATGATCAGCTTAATGCTGATGGAAGATTTGTATCTTTTTGCCTAAAATACATACAAACAGTCTGAAAACTTGTTGAGCTTTTATTTCAGTGCTATCAGGCACAGAATTCGACAGGTTAACTGTTCATTGTATTAGAACTGCTCTATTTGTCACTTAGAACTTTGTTCTGCACCAGGTTTTTGGCTTTCTTCAATCACAAAGACACTTAAACTCATACCTTTGTTCTGAAATCAGGAATGAAATATATATTTAATATGTAAGCTTCTCTAAGGTGGGGCTGATGACATCTTTTATCTTCCTCTGCAGCAGCCAGAAATAACCCAAAAGCAAATTAGCTGCCGAACCAGAGGTATGTTTTTTCTTCCATCCTGAAACATGAATATTGAGTCATAGTGTGATCATTGGGTTTATTAAGGGGATAAGACCAACTGATCTTTGTCTTTATTGGAGTGACATGCATCTCCTCATTTGTAAAATACCATTCCTTATTTGTTAGTGGGGCAGACCGTGTTTTACAGCTTTTGTTACAATAGGGCAAACAGTTGGAATTACAGTGATGAACGTGGATGTTTTGAAAATAAAAGGACAATTTCATCTTTGTGTTTCAGGATCTCTTCCTCCTATGTCAAATCACTGGAAGTCTCAGCATCCTTTTCATGGAAGGCTGACCAGCAACATGGTTTGCAAACACTGTGAACACCAGGTATACAAAAGTGTGCTGTGTTTAGGTACACATGAAGAGTGATCCCTGATATTCAGAGTGCATTCTGAGGTGAAACCACCATCCCTTGTTTCCAACATAATTGGTTTAAGCTCAATAGTTTGCAGGAATAAGAGCTTCAGCCATTATTTTTTTCAGCTACTTGTTGTGGCATTTTGTACTGAACAAGAAAATATTGCTAAGCATCCCAAAGAAAATGAAGTGTGATTCACTTCCTGGGGATGACAGCTATCTTATCAGGTAGAATAGTTGTTTAATTACATTTAGTATCCAATATCACAGGTATCATATGCTGAAAATCCACTTGCATTTTAGGACTGGCTATTCATTCAGCATGCAGTATTGTGATTGCACATGCAAAGGCAAATAAGGTTGCAGTCATCCAGAGTGAGGAGATGAAGATAAGCTGAATGAAGCAAAAATACAGAAAAAAGATGGAATTCATACACCCAACTCTAAGAACACTTTTCAAAAACTTGCAAACAAGTTTAGAAGCGAGCAGGGGCAGCTTCAGCAGAAACAGGCAGAGCAGTACCTGTATCAGCATTTGCATCAGGTGTTTCCTAGCACTACAGCTGTGGGGAAAACAAGTGATGTAACAGACATGCACGGATATGCTTGTTCTGCATGAGGCTGCTGGGAGGTAATGGTTGACCTATTTGGTTTTTTAGACCATGGTGGATTTGGTTGCTCACTGCATTTGAAATATTTTCTTGCAGAGTCCTGTGAGGTACGATACATTTGACAGTCTCTCCCTGAGTATTCCAGCAGCTGTGTGGGTATGTATCTGCCTTCGATGGGTGACCCAGCCAGCACTCTACTGCCTTGCCATCAGGGCTTTATCTTCACTGTTATCCTTTTACGGCCTCAGTAGCACCTAAATGAGGTGTTACTAAATGAGTAACTGGAGTTGCCTTTATAAGCAATCCTGCTGTGTTAGCACAGGGCCTTACTACTAAGGCAATGAGGGAAATGAGCAATTAGCCTGATGGGTGTGACTGCAGGCACTGAATTTTCTTTTTCTCCTGGTGGATTATTTGGTCCTTTTGGTTAAATTGAACAGAGCAGATTGTGTCCTGAGGGCTGTGTATTACAGGCAGACTTAGAAGATGACCTTCAAGTGCTCTGTCTCTGGTTACATTACAACTGGAAATAGTTTCTGTGTCTCACTGGCTTTGTGAAAATCTTTAAATGATAAAACATTGTAGATTTGGGGGCAAAATGTGCAGACCTTTGTATTGTAGCCGTTACCTTATGTCTGTAATTAATAGTTTTTGCTGTTGTTCTAAGGGTCATCCTATGACACTGGATCACTGCCTCCATCACTTCATCTCCTCTGAATCTGTGAAGGATGTTGTGTGTGACAACTGCACTAAAGTATGTCATTGTAATTTATATAACCTTTGAGCTCAGTTTCAAGCCTGCTGACAGAATTATGGCTTCAGTTTTCTACTCCTTTCTTCATGACTTCAGGAAAGCCTCTCTAGCTTGCCTGGGATTTATTATTCTTAAAATAGAGTTATTACCCCACAGTATTTTGAAGCTTTATTTATTGTTAACATAATAAAATTTACAACTGCTTTATTTGGTATTTAGATCATATTTGGAAGAACAAAAAAAGAATTAGTCCCCTTTTGAAACATTACTTTATATTTGCCTGTACTTTGATGACAGAGAGCCAAAACGGATTGTTTGATACCTAGCAGAAATGGCTACATGTAAACTAGGTTTGTTCTCTAAGAGCTGTTTCTGCTCAGTTCTGTTGTTAAAACATGGATCCATTGGAATGGGCCAACAGCTCTTGAGAGAGGAAAATTGTAGAAGAAATTCACATCCCAAGGATAGCTTGGCATGCAGCATGCAAACCTGCAGCAGGATTATTGTTTGTAATTTGATATAACAAGTGACCAAACAACTCTGTTTTCCCTTTGATTTCAGATTCAGGCGGAAGGGACTCTGAATGGACAGAGCATAGAAAACCAGAAAACAACATTTGTTAAGCAATTAAAGCTAGGGAAGGTAAGGCGAGCTAACCCCCCAAATCCACTTTTAAATCCTATTAAATAGTAATCTCTTTGACCCGTTTGCTTAATGTCTACTTCTACTACTTATTGCACTTCTCTAATGTTTTCTGAAATAGAAAAAAAAGGCTTTTGTCAAGTATTTGTAGACATTGAAATCTCAGTTAACAAAGCTCTGAACTCTTTAGCTTAAAGAACGTGAGTACTCCACTGCTATTCAGCAAAACACTTGAGTTTGGCTTAGGTGCAGTTTGTTTGCCTTGTGTTGCTTTTTTATTCCCTTGGTCAGTAAAGCAGTTGATATATACAGCCTATTTGTAGGATAATTTGTGCATTTCAAAGTTCATACATATTCTAACATATATAACATAACATATTCTAACTACAGAAGGTTTAAACGAGAGAACGCAGTGCTAAAGAACTGGAAATGTTTACAGTGGAGGTGCTTACAAGTTTCTTGTTCTGTGATCAGATAATGCAGAGGACAGCAGGGCCATTCCTAATAAAATTTCCTTACTGACAAAGGCCAGCCTCGGCATGACTTTGTCTGACAGATATTTATAACTCCTTGACCTTTTTTCCTGGGTACTCTTACTGTGTGATGCCATTATTTATGGAATATTAGCAAATGTCTGGCAGCAACATACTGACACAAATTCCAGTACTCATTTCTACCTTGCAGATCATCAAGCAAAATGAGATGGGCTTTTTAGGAATGTGTGTGATTTTTCTTTTTTTCCTTCCCCCATTTGCAGTCAGTAATTAACATGCTCTGTCCTACTGCCTAGCAAGCAATATGGCACTATTAGAAATCTCAACAGTTGTGACTCAGAAATAGTATTGCAGTAAGCTTAGATACAGAAATAGCACATAAAGGAACAACAGTTCAGTGACTTAATTCCTTATCTACTGGACTTACCACTTAGGTCCATTAGAATGCTTTTAGCAGCTGTTTCTCTTCACTTAAAATGTATTTTGACTTCTCTTTTGTATGGAACTTTGAAGCTCCCTCAGTGTTTGTGTATCCATCTGCAAAGACTGAGCTGGTCAAACCAAGGGACTCCTCTGAAACGTCATGAACATGTACAGTTCAATGAGTTCCTAATCATGGACATCTACAAATATCACATTCCTGTTCATAAATCAACTCAGAATGATCTGAATCAGAAAAGCTCTGAAGAGACAAAGCCTGGAACAAGGGATGGGATAGCAGTAAAACCTTCAGGTATTTACCTGTGTTTACCTCTTGCCTTTAGATATCAAGGGACTGTGATGTGTAATGAATTAAAATAAACTGCCTTCACATTCTGTGATGACGGACACTGTAGAAACAGAAGCAGTTAGCAATACTTGTGGCAGCACTGAAGTTAAATGACCAGCCTGTTTTGTTTTGCAGATGCAGAGCAGACATGTGGTACCAAATCTCTCCTTATGAATGGTGCCTGCTCCTCTCCACTCTTCATGTCCTCGGGAACTTTTCCACTCGCTGCATTCCCTGAGTGCAGGTAAGTGAGATGTGCACCCTGTTTGTATTTCCATCCATTTGAGTTGTGTTTTCCTTTATTGTCTTTATCAAAAGGCTGTGTAGTTGTAGAACTTAACATCTATCCTAGTTCCTGTGTAGAACATTGTTTTCTGTTTTCCTTGCTGATTGTCTTTGGCTCCATTTCTCTCCTTCTAAGAAAGGGAGTTGAGCTTATTACAGGGAGAACTCGGAATCTCTTTTCTTTGGTTCAGCGTGCAGCAGTCATCCTTCTGGATTGCCATATTCTCATTCATACTGTTTTTCCTACTACCCCTTCTTTGACTTTTAACTGTTCCTGTGAGAGTTGTTAGGTTTCTTTAAACTCCTGCAAGAAATTCTTACAATATTGGGAAAAAAAATCTGTAAGAGTTCTACTTAACAATCTCAATTGCAGCTGCCATGATTCTACTTAATAAATCCAGTCTTGATGCTTATGATGATGACTTGTTTTTTGAGAAAGTTCCCTTTTCAGTCCTGTGACCAACGTTCTGTTACAGAACTGTTGGTTATTATCCCATGGGGAGCACATTTCCCACAATACTTTGGGAAATGAGAGGCGAGCAAACGCTCTGTGCCAAACATTTGTTATGAAGACAGTTGTAGAGCAAGTCCTTAAAGTATACCTGTTTTTATCTATGGATTACCCACCATAATTTGACCTCTTTTTAAGAAAGATGTAATAGCTGTCTGGTGCATTAAACCTTTAAAATGAATGGTTTGCTTTCTTCAGTAGTCAGGCAGCACTGCAGTGCACTTAAAATAACAAAAAGACTTAGAATAACGAAAAGTAACTGCACAGCAACTGCACACAGTAACTGCAGCACGTCTCTTAGACACAATTACTTGCTCTGGAAAGAAATTGCAAGCAAAGACAAAGCAAGCGGAGCTTCCTTAGGTCCATGTGAGACACACGAGGTCTGCTGACCTTTTCTCTCCTCTCTCTCAGTCCCCCTGTGTACCTGTACCGGCTGATGGCGGTGGTTGTGCACCATGGAGACATGCACTCTGGACACTTTGTGACCTACCGCCGCTCTCCGCCTTCTCCCAAGAGCCCGCTCTCTGTCAGCAATCAGTGGCTATGGATTTCAGACGATACGGTTCGCAAAGCTAGTTTGCAGGAGGTCCTTGCCTCTAGTGCTTACCTGCTGTTCTATGAGCGTGTTCACTCAAGGGTACAGCACCAGAGTTTGGAGTTGAGGCCTGAAGAGTGATTAAGAGAGATGGAGGAGGACAAAAACTGACCAAATTCCTCTGCTGAGATCCACGTTGCACCTCCTGTCTGTTATGCAAATAATCCACCACAGGCCCTTTAACTTTCCCCTCCCTCCATGGCAGCAGCTGGCTCTTGCTGGGAGTAGTTTTGTACCAAAATTAAGCTACCCAAAGTTGGTCTGCTAACGTCGCGCAGTCCAAAGTGTATTTGTATTAGAAGAGCATTTATTCTGTTCAGTAGCAATTCTGTCAGCATCACAGCTCCGAGACAGACATCTCAAAACAGACTTTCCAAGGCTGATATCCATATTCTGAACACATGTATGTTTTCAAGGGGAGATGTGGAATCCTGTACACTTCAGTGCAGACGTTTGTGAACAAGGGAGCCCCAGGAGCAGTTGTTGGGAAGCTACTGTTATCAAAGGCAATGATTTAAGAAACAAAGTGCCTTGAGCCTATTTGAACAGATTACCATTGTCTGAGTCCACTGCGTGCCAGCTGTGTTCTGAGAGGTGTCTCAAGATGATGGGATGAAAAGAATGACAGCAGATTTCTCCTGATATCCCAGCCAGTGAATAAAACAAGGCCTCCTTACAGAACATGCACGACCAAAAAATTTCCTTCCCTCTTCCTAATAGTTCAGTTCTCTATATGTCATGGAATTACTGATTCAGGCAGCAGTTTCCTTTTTCGAGGAGAAAAGATCAAATTCTTTTACCAATTAAGAGCTGATACCTGACTTATTGCTCTGTATCTTTGCACTACAGGTGACATGGAAAGACAGAAGAGTTTGCTTGCTGTCAATATTGTAATTTTCTTGGTCACTCAAACTGTTGAATACTAATGCTGGTAGTAAGGACTACAGCTTTTAATACCATTAACTTTAAGGCTATTGTAATTGGTGTTCTAGATGTGCCCTTCCTATTTTAATGCTAAAAACTGTCATTTGTCATCAGCCTTTTGGATGTATGTTGTCAGGCTTGCAGCTGAGCATTAGAGCTTATACTGGTTGTGACTGTGAGCTGAGATAAACAGCAACCCAAGCATCCTTGTAAAATTTGAGCATACAGAACTGAATCTGGACCAATGGGCAACTTGTCTGGTAAGGCAGTCTGCAAATTCTGGTGTCTCTGCATTAGATATGCAGATTTCCATATAAATTGTACTTTGCTGCTCTAGGTTGTCTAATGTGTTAAAAATAATAGTATCTCAAAGCATGGATGGAGAAGGAAAAATTACTTTTGACTGCTTTTAAGTTATCAGGAATAAAATATGTAGACTGTTTTTAGCTCTTTTCTATAATTCTAACGTGGAGGAAAAAGACCCATTCCTCAGACTAGATTTTTCAGTGTAAAACAGCAACTAAGTTTTCAAATCATTACTGTCTTCATAGTTTTTTTTTTAGGTAACTTTGTACCTCATATATTCATATCACTGCCTGAAGCTCTCAGGCATTCAGAGTTCCTTAATGAAGTCTCAGAACCAGCTGAAATAATAATAGATGTACATAAGAATCTGTTTACTACACTCACGTTGTTCCAAAGTAATAATACATAAAACACTCTTTATAAATCTACAGAGATACCAGTTAGTGAGAAGCCTCCCTAAGTTAGGCTACTGGTAGCATGGTTTTAACTTTTATATGTTAAGTTAAGGAAAAACAACAAGAGGGGAAAAAAAAAAGGGTTGCAAAATGCCAAAAATGTCCTGGCCATTGAGATAAAATCTAACAGACTTGCAGAATGTGAGAGGAGAGGAAAACCCCCTGTTCTGAGCAGCATGGGAGTGCAGGAGAAGCTCTGTAAAGCGTGTTGTTCCAGCAGGGCTACAGTTTGACCTGAAAGCTTCCAAACACTTCCACCAGCCAGAGTGTATATTCTGCAAAGCCTGTTCTCAGTAGGGGCTGTTTATAGAGGTTTTGTGAAGTTCTTCTTCAGGTAATTTTGTTCAGGAAGCAGTAATGCTGGAGCTGTGTCAGAACATATGCACACCACAGGCTAACAGTCTCAAACTTGTCAGCCCCAAAGCGTTGCAAGCTTGCACATTCAGTACTTTGCATAGAACTGCTTGCTGTCGGGTCAGTTTGATCAGAATGGAAGCATGACTGCGTGACACTGATAACCTGCTCACTTCCATTCAGCTGCAGGTTCACTCTGCAACCTTCCTCAAAGGCTGCAGAAACGAGGGCTGAACAGTCAGCATTTGTTGTAGGTTTTGCTGCTGGGAAGGAGCAGGCAGCCTTGGTTTAGCCCTCAGTGTGAGGAAGGAAGCAAGTGACAGAACCTCAGGCCCAGTCCTGTCCTGGACACTCAGCCTACTGCAAGCTCAAAGGCTTCTGCAGATGTTTGCCATCTTCACCTTTTGAAGTCACTGGGTTTCATCCAATATTGTTACTTGTTAGAAGCTTTCGTGATGGAAAAGTTGTTATTAAATGCAGGAGCTTACAAACATCAGATAAGGCCTCTAGGGTGACATCTCTGTGTTTGGATAATTGTTTTATTTTGTGTATTATTTTAAAAAAGTGTGAGAGTCACAGCACCGCACTGCTGTTTGAAGTTGCGTTTTCACTTCAGGGTATTTTTTGTAACTGTACAGTAGCAATAAAAGAACTTAATAAAAAAAGTAACTGTCCATATTTGCTGATTTCTTCAAGGCCAATCTATCAGATATTTACACAGTACATCTGATAGAAGCAGCACTTCTCCTTCTCTAGGTGCATTCCTGGGATCCAGGTTCCCAGCAGAGCCCTGCTCTTCACAAGAAATATAGAGGATAAGAATTTCCAATTCCAGCTTTTCTAAACTGCTGTTAATTCCACAGCCCCAAGAGACTGCAGGCTACTCATTCACATGCTCCTAAGCATGGTTACACAGGGATCAACTCACATTTTTGCTCAGCACTTACCATTGCTTGATTCCTTAAGACCTGGTGGACACTTTGGACGCTCTTTCCTCATTTCAGTAGGATGGAGCACGGATGGGAATGGCTTTCAGAATGGATTCCCTAGGGATAATTGTTTAGAAAAACAGGTACTCTCAGAAGTGATAGCTTTTCACACTGTGTTGCCCATATAAAACATATTCCCCTGAAAGTCACCTTATGCTCCCTGGTTTCTGCACAGAGGACTGAGTGAAGAAGAGGTGCCTCTCATGTCTTTCTGTCCCACCACACTGCTGCCCACAAGAACCCACGCAAGCAGAGGAGGTAAAGCAGCAGAGAAAATAGATGCAGACAAATCATAGTGACCATACAACATACTGCAGTCACTGCATTAATATCTTAGCAATCATCTTCTCATGTCAGTCTCATTTGTGTTTTATTTAAATAAAACCAAGCAAGCTGTAGCTCACTGATAGACCATCCAAGAAAGTGTCACCCACTGAATACCACCAGCTTACAGGCTCACTCTAAATGATTACACCTCACACTTTATGGTATTTATAAACTATCTCACTATTTCAAGGATGAAGAATATTTTGGACTTTCTAAAGAAGTGGCTCTAATTAAGATTAGGTGAGAACAAATTTCATCCTGACCGAAACAAGAGTATTACTTGATAATAAGTGGTGTATCAACAACTGTTTACTGAAAGCATTCCTGGCATTTAAGATCAGTAGCTGCAGAATTTATTAGCAAGTTACCAAGCACACTATCTTCTAGTTTAATGCCTTGGATCATCAAACACAGCTTGACTGAGGAATTGACAGCTATATCGAGGAGGAAAACTTCAGTATTCAGGGTCTGTGGTCCATGTGCTTCATTGCTATCTCGCTTTTTTGTCAACAACCATCATTTTCCGAAATGTCAGGTTGATTCTTGGAGCAAGCACTCTCTTGCGGATGGGCAGGCTGTGGTACCAGTACACGTTAGTGGGGTACTTTATCATCAGCAGGCTGCCATGGGCTAGCTGCAGTCTGATGGGCTTAATGTGCCGTGTTGCATTCTTCCCTCTGGAATCACAGTGCCTGAAAACGAAGTCTCTGCAGGCTCCAAAGGACACTGATGCAATAGGGCTACGTGGAATCAGCTCCTTCTCATCATCTCGATGTTCACCTATGTGGTCCTCACCGTCTTTATACCTGTAAACAGAATAATTAGTTCACCTGTCAGTCCAGCAAAATGAATATCAAACTACTCCTTGGTGATCTGTCAGTACACCAAGCAATAGGAATGAGCTGCTTTGTGTGACTGGAAATCAGACATACCTGTTAATAACAACAAAATTAAAAGTGTGTCCCGTTTCCAAAACAAGGCGATCTCTGATGCGGTTGAGAACTGGGATCCACGGCTTAGGAGAAAAGGTGACACCTGAGTAAGTGTACGTTAACTCGGGGTCTCCATAGGTTACCTGCTTCCTGGGGATGTTATGCCATTTGCCAAACACACGCAACTTTGTCTGTTCACCTGTTTAAACAAGATGGATCAAAATTAACTTAGTATTCTTCATTCAGAGGGCAGTGGGACCGTGGCAGTGCTGCCCAGAGCTGTGGTGCCCCATCCCTGGACGCACCCTAGGCGATGGGTGGGCAGCCTGAGCTGGGGGCAGCCAGCACACGGCAGGGCTGGGGGGGCTTTGGGGTCCCCTCCAACCTAATCACACTGATTCCAAAGATAGACCCTCCCCCTCGGCTGCTTTACCTTCGAAGTACTCCACCTCTTTTTCCAGCTGCTGGAAGACCTCGTCAGCCTCGGCCCGGCCGAAGAGGAGGCGATACTCGAGGCTCAGGCCTTGGGCACGGATCTGCTGACTAGGCTGTGAGGGATGGGGCAGGCCGCCCGCCGCCTCCTCTAACCGGGGCCTCTTGCCATCACCCCCAGGTTCCTCAGCAGAACGTTTAACCACGAATCCGTCCATGCGCAAAACGGGTAATACGTGGGACAGCACCCGTACGGGGCGGGCGCTGAGGAGCGGCCCCCACTGAGGGAGCGACTGGAGGCGGGAATCTCTCAACCCCTCCGTAACGGAAGCAGTGCGCACGCGCTTCCCTAAGCCCCGCCCCCTGTCACCACCAGGCCCCGCCCCCGGCGCCTGCGCGAGCTTTTGGCGCCAAATCGTGGCCCCGCCCCCTTCGACCACCTTTTCGCGCCGGTTCTGCTGCTATTGTCCTCCCTCCGGCACTGCCGCAGCTATGATCGGGCAGAAGACGCTACATTGTTTCTTCAGCACCGCACCGCCGAGGAAACGCAGCCGCTCTCCAGAGCCTGGCGGTGGTACTGAGGTAACTGTGTGGTGGAGGCTATAGGGGTAAAGGAGCATTCTGGACGCTGGAGGTGGCCGAGAGCTGCGCAGGGCACGGGGGGCTGGTGAGGAGGGGGTTGCCGAGAGCTGGCAAGAGCTGCCGAGAGCTGGGGGTTGGCTGTTGAAGGGGCGCGGTGCCTGTGTGGGGGGTGAGGTGCTAGCGGCCGTTGGGAGCCGCTTCCAAAATCCCGCGGTTCTGCACGCCTGACTGAGCAACCAATAACATCCAATAGGCGTTGCAGGCTTGTTTACGTCACGATTGCTAGGCAGACTAGCACACTACTCCCGTCGAGAGCCAATAGAAATAAGCGGATATTTTTACGCTGGCCAATGGGAGAGCGCGGGATCAGAGCCGCGCTTGTGGGCGGGCCCTCTTAGGGCGCGGTGACCAATCGGGACAGATCTGTCGCTGTTTTGCCGCGAGAAAAGCACGTGTGTTGTAGGGAGGGCCGGATTGTGGCATGGCGGTCTCAGGGCTGCTGCTGGGCAAGCGGCTGGGCCGCGCCTCTTTGCGCCCGCTCTGCAGCGGTCTTTTCTCTCGCCGTTTGCAGGACGATGCCGCTAAGAGGCAGAAAACCTCGGATCATGAAGCGGGGAGGGCCTCAGCGCTGAGCCCTGAGCAGCTGGAGCGAATGCGCAGAAACAAAGAGTTGGCACTGCGGCGGCTGAACGAGCGTAACGTTCCTCCGGGCTTTGGGGAGAGCTGGCGGCGGCAGCTGGCGGCAGAGTTCACCAAGCCCTACTTCGTGGACGTGAGTGTCTAGGGCTGGCCCCGCACCGTGCTGCTGCCCCGGTGCTACCCCTGTGTTGATCCCCCTGTGCTGATCCCCTTGTTCTGCCTGCAGCTGATGGCATTTGTGGCCGAGGAGAGGAAGAAACACACGGTGTACCCGCCTCCAGAGCAGGTCTTCACCTGGACACAGATGTGTGACATCAGGGATGTGAGTAGGATGTGGGTGGTTTGGATCTGAAGTGCCTTAGGGGTGGGGCTCGTGGGAGGGTGGGGCCTGATTTGGGGTCTCGTGCATCTTGGATTTTCTCCTATCTAATGAACTGTAATACAGAGATATGCATGGTAGTGTTTAAGGTAATGCCTCGCGAATAAGCTGTGTGTGTGGCCTTTAGTTTCACAGTGAATGTGGCATAGAATTCAAAACTCAAAAAGCTTCTTTGGAAACATTCATCAAGTGGATTGTGGATTTGTGTAAACTTTGTTGTTTTGCACTCAAAGCATTTCCATAATCTTGGCAGCACAGCTGTGGTGTTAGCCTCTGGTAGGGGCTGTTTCTTAACTTGCATATAGTGTCAGTGATTGAAAGGCAGTTACTGGTTGTTTTTTTTGTCTGCATTTGTTCTAGGATAGAGCCTGTATGCAAGCTTTTCCTTTGTTTCCATTTTTTTGGGGAACAGTAATATGATTCAATACTAATTACGGTCTGCTTCCAGGTAAAAGTTGTAATTTTGGGACAAGATCCTTATCACGGACCTAATCAAGCTCATGGGCTCTGTTTCAGTGTCCAGAAACCTGTTCCACCTCCTCCCAGGTATGGCAGTAACCATCTTACAAAATTCCTTTCATTAACAAATTAGTTTTGGTTCTGTTACCAAACTGTTTGTCTGTCCCAGATGCATAGTTTGTATTCTTTTGTCTTTCTCCCATGATCTCAGTCTGGAAAATATTTACAAAGAACTGTCTACTGATATTGAAGACTTCACCCATCCTGGTCACGGTGATCTGACTGGCTGGGCCAAGCAGGGTAAGGCATCCTAAAAAGCAGATCTGTGATTAGGCAGAGCCTATCTGTAAAGCAAAATCAATTGTGGGTGCCCTAGCAAGTACCTTGGGATGAAAATATTCCCATTATTTATTCTCAAGGGAAGCAGAAGGCAGCTAACCTGTGGCTTTGTTTGTGTGCTAGGCGTGCTCCTGCTCAACGCTGTCCTCACGGTGCGAGCCCACCAGGCCACGTCCCACAAGGAGAAGGGCTGGGAGCAGTTCACAGATGTGGTGGTCTCCTGGCTGAACAAGAACCTGCACGGTGTTGTTTTCATGCTGTGGGGAGCTTATGCTCAGAAGAAGGGCAGCTCTATTGACAGGGTATGGGGTCGTGCAGTGGCTCACTGATGTTTCTCGTTACGGGGTGGACGCTAGAGGGTGCCTTCTTTACAGGGTTGTGTTTTAGTCCCTGCTTGAACTCTGCTACTGCCAAACTTGATTGCCCTTTTGTTTAGCTTGGTCTTTGCCAGAATTAAGCAACAAAAGTGGAGCAAGAGTAATGTTCTGTTGTCAGAAGAGCCTCCAGCTGATGGCAGAGCTGGTATTTCTAGGAAAAATCTCATGAATAAGTGCTGTTAGGACAACAGCAATTGAAAAATGGGCTGGGTGTTACTGCTTCTGTGCAGCCTGTCCTCAGTGGGACAAAAGTCTCTGCCTTTATGGCTGAATTCTTCAGCCCTCCTTTCTTGGTCTGATGACTGAGGAAACGCAGAGAGGAAATTAAATGACGTGGAGCAGCCAACCTTGTCCCTGAAAGAGCAGAGATCTAATGAGCTGTTTCCTTCACCCTTCACAGAAACGCCACCACGTCCTGCAGACGGTTCACCCTTCCCCTCTGTCTGTGAACAGAGGGTTTTTTGGCTGTCGGCATTTCTCCAAGACAAATGAGCTCCTAAAGAAGTCCGGCAAGAAGCCCATTGATTGGAGAGCGCTCTGAGCTGTGAGCATCAGCTCTGGGGCCAGATGGGTGCAAACAGCCCTGTTGGAAGGGCTGTCTGGTTTCTGAGAAACTTCTGCTGACCTGAGGATTGTCCTCTGGATGTCAATCAAGGAACAAAAGGCCTAACTCTAAGAGACTTGAGTTTTTTTCCAGAGCAAATTTGAATGACTTGTCTGCTTTTGGAAGGGATCTCAGCCTGGCTTGAGGCAAAGGAAAACAGTTTCATGTTAGTTTGTTTGGTTTTCATTCTGGAATGTTTTTTGAGAGCCTTGTGAAGGGGTGTGAATTCTTGCAGGTGAAGCTGCTCAGCTGCTGTACGTAGCCTGCCTTGCTTCTCCCCTCTCCCCTGCATCCTGCTGTACAAATCTGTTAGTGGATGGGAGTGGAACTGGAGTCCCTGGTCTCCACTGGAGCCAAGGCTGACTTAAAGCCTCTGATGGTGATATGCCTTTATCTGGTGTGTCACTGAGGTTTCAGGGTTAACCAGATGAGCTCCATGATACTGAGGGAGGTTCCTGCAGATCTCACTGCCACTTCCAGCAGAGATACTGGTCCATCAAGCTGCCAAGTGATGGGCTGAATGTTTCAGAATATTTACAATCTTAAATCTTAATACAGAGATACTTCTGTGCTTTGCCTTCCTAGGAGAAAGTTATTTGCTCTGAGGCCAGAAATCTGTTGGCTCTTCCTGGCTGAATGTGAGAGCTCTGGGTGTCCAGTCCAGCTTTGTTTCCATGCTTTCTTTTAATGAAAGTGCCTTGTTCAAAAGTTGCATTTTAAAACCTTGTATTTGCTCCAGGAGGGGGCACTAGTTGGTGGAGCTTCCTTCACATCTGTTGGGTTTGGTGTGTGTTTTTCTTTTTTTTTTTTTTTTAATAAAAATCCTTTTCTTTACATTGTGCTGTGATCTTCCAGGGCTGGAAATGAGCAGAGGAGTGGGTGGTGGGGCTGACGGCACAGGGACGGCAGCAGCTCATCCTAACCCTCCCCAACCCCCCCCTTAGCTGTCATGGCACCTTTGTCCCACAAGGATCACATGTCCCCGTCTCTGCTTTCCACCCTCTCCTTCCAGCAGAAGTTTTCCAGCCGTGCTAACGGGGAAATATTTATGCTTGACGTGAATGTCACGTGAAGAGCAGAGGGAGATCCTAGCGCAGGCTGCGGGCCTGAAATGTGAAACCCTGCAGCGGTCAGGAGCTGCCCCCAGTCTGCAGGCCCTGCGGGGGTCACCGTCCCAACTTGGGGATAAAAGGGGGTCCAGCACAGAGCTGTGGCCCTTTGGGTTGGCTTTGGGCTCATCTTGGGACGCCAGCAGGCTCGGAGATGATGGTGAGTGGGATAGTGGTGGTGGCACTGGGGGATCCCCGAGTGGGGGCATGCTGAGGTTTAAAATGGGGAGGTGGGTCCCTGTGGGGGCACGGGGGGGGGTCTGAGGAGCCCTGCAGCCCTCCTTTAACTAAGCTAGTGTTGGCATTCACCTTGGAGGTGCTGAGATTTCACATTGGGTCGATCTCAATAATTACCTCCAGAGGAAGGTAGGGTGACAGTTCCCCCCCCTCCCCTCTCCCCGGTAACTGCTAACAGAACCAAATGTTCCGTTTAACAGCCCTTCCACCTCAGGGCACTGTGGGGCTGCTTGCCTGATGGCTGTTGCCCCCTCCTCCCCCACCCCCTTCCTCGTGGCCGGGTGCCCATTTTAGCCCACATTTTTGCCATGAGGTGTTTTTCTAACTGAGGTAAAAACTGCTTGATGTGTTAACAGACTGAACAGGGGAAGGTGGGTTGGGGGCTTTGGGGAGTGCTGGGGGGGCACAGGAGCAAAATGGAGGAGAGTGGGCTGGGAATGCTGGAGGGCACGGTGGGCTGGGGTGTGGGAATGCTGGGGGACTGGGCTGGGTGCTGTAGGGAGCACTGGGGGAAACAAAAGTTTCCTGTCTGCTGGGGGCTGGTGATGAGTTAGAGCTCAGAGCTGAGCCTAAAGGAGCCCCTGAGGGTTGAGTTTAGCCTGTGG